CTAGATGGATTGATTTCATCAGTGATAATAAGTTGGCATTGTTTTCTGTAATCAAGCTGACAAAGAAAAGCACACATAAGAGCTTTTTGTGCGGTTGCGCACTCTGCTCAGGGTGTAAAAAAAGTGTAATAGCGGTTACATCAAAAGCAGCATAAGCCACRCGTTCACCTCTAAATATTCATTTAGTCTAATGGTCTTTAGCTACAACCCCGCACAGAGAAACCATATGGACCATCAGCCCCCTACTGATGGCCACATGGTGACTTCAGACTGAGGAAGCCTTTCAACAACAACATCAGCAACATCGTCTGTTGTACTAATAAACACTGCACTTCAATAAAACGCAAATTAAAGGAAAAGGCAATTTACCCAACACTTTCATTACGCAGAACTCAATTTGCATAACAAAGAGACACATTTGATTACACATAAACTTAATGCACTTAAAAAATACATGAAAAACAAAATGGTTAAGGATAGTTTAAAACAAACCATCAGACACAATGGAATACATTTTACAGGGTAATATTTAAACCATTTTTTCTTGTCTTGTTATAGGAAAATTGCAACACAATCATGTTTGAGAAGTAGTTAAATAATTCGATCACGCATTGTATTTAGCAGATAAATTCCWTATGAAACAAATGTGAAGTACTTTTATCTTTTAGCAAGACTTATGTTCATTTRTGACTGATCACGGCCATACAGGGAGATTTGTAAGCACTTTATTGGATGTTCTATTGAACTGTATTGCTGGAGTTATTTATTTGTGTTTTTCATTTCACATAGTCTGTTTGAACAAATACTTTGTCAGTTACTTTAGAGGAAGATCCAACAGGAAACTTTAAATTAAATTTCATATTCAAAGCAATTTATGTTCTTTAAGTGCAAAAATGCAATCAGGATTATTGGAAATGACACTTTGAGTTCGGAAAAGTTACAATATTGAGCAAAATAAATGTGATTATGATTTTTCCATAATTTAGTAGTCTATGCATKGAGTAATTCTTGCTGTAAATTATTTTATTTTTTAACCAATTTTTGTTTCAGTGCCATTGAAAACCTTCATCACAAAATTCAACTTATAACTCTTTGATTTTTGGCTTATTAATTATGTTACAAAGACATAAGAAGCTGATWTGCAACGAGTTGTGACAAAGTCCTTTTACAGAAACAGAGCCTTTTATGACTAAGTTGCAGTACAATGTCCTGWGTTATCTTGAAGACAGACAGCTCTGATCCAATCTGCTACACTGCTTTGAAGTTCTTGACTATTCATTTTGTCATTGTGGATAAAAGGTCAGAGGTCTGTTAACACAAATCCTCCTGTCCCCGTAATGGTATGCAGGCAGAAGATATGATCACCAGAGGAAAGAAAAACAGAAATCTACCTCTTAATAAGGTCTCTTGCTCTGTTGAATAATTTGGTAGGATTAACATTTCCGCTGTGCATTTGTAACAGTTTGCATAGCTAGAATGCTTAAGTTAAACACATTACTTAAACACGTTCAACTTTTGGGTGACCTCGAACATTCCTCCTTTGACTCCTTGCCTTTGACCTCAGGGCTTTGAGCTGACAAAGGCAGATCTGAGTGACATCACCTGGCCACACGCTCATGGCCACAGGACATAACACAATGGCCAATGGTTATTTTGGACAAATGTCACCCTTCCCTGCATGTCAACTTCCTCTAAGAGTCAGCAAGAYTGAATTCATTGTGAGCTACTCTCATTTGCCAGATTCTCTGCCTGGACCCTGCAGCGTCAAACACCTCACACCTAGCATGTTTAGCTTCACACGTTGTAAATAGTCAACTTTCAATTAGCACACACACATTCATCAGCATCATATGAATATGTGGATGATATTTGCTGTGTGAGATCACCCACCCTCTTGATCAGTGGTGGACAGTATTGGAGATATTTACTTGAGTACTGTACTTAAGTACATTTTTTGAGTAACTTTACTTTACTTGAGCAATTATTTTTTGGGGAACTTATGACTTTCACTCCACTACATTTCAAAAACAAATATTTTACTTTTGACTCCACTACATTTCTTAGAAGCTTGTTGGTTACTTGTTACTTTTGGCTCAGCATAGTTTTGTGATCCACTTTTGCTGTTTTCCTTTCTTGAAATGCATTTGGCCGCACGCCATGTTCCTCACAAGGGGAACCAATCACAGTCATGGCTCACACCTAGGATAGATTTGGAATTGTGTCATCCTCGTTAGCGGTGGTGAGCTGAGATTCACCTTCATTTCAAACAGAACCCAGCAATGGAGACGGTTGAAGAAACTCGTGGAGAAACCAGACCAGCATGGCCATATCTCAGCTCGATGTTTGAGATTTTAAGACTGAAAAATATTTTGTACCAGTTTAAACGCCTTATGTTTTCACTGTGGATAAACTACATTTCTGCATTTAAGAAATCACCACTCACTTTATTRCATTTTATGTTGAAGTCTTTACAGGTGGTGTAGAATTTGTAGCAGAGTGGTTCTATGAGTCGATACATCAGGTGATTTCTGAGAGTTATGAGTCAAGGTTCTGTAAAATTACTCTGGAATCAATACAGCAGGGCTATTCAACTAAATTGCTCCAGGGGCCACAGTTACTGCCGATCAACAGCTGAGGGGCCGAACATCCAGCAATTAAAATCTTTATGTAAATAAACCAAGTATTACAAAGATATGTTACCTTTGAATTAGTTTATTTTCCTGCATTTAATCATGAAAACAACAAAGAGAACCTATAAAATAATTATGATTAAACAATATCAAAAACAAAAAGAACACATTATGCTCCTATTTGACACAAATAATATTTTGACATCTCTGATTTGCCAAAATTTTAAACCAATTATTATTTTCACTTTCGTCATTTTATCTTAAACTGCTTGTAGTTTTAACTGTCTTGATTGTTTATAGAAATAGTTTTACCAGCTTGTACCCAAGATTGTGATATTTCTGTAGATACCAAACATGTACGTATATGTTTAACTAAAATAACTTAAAGTAATTAAAGTAGAAAACCGGGGGTTTGGGCTCAAGAGATRAATGAACCAATTGGCGGGCCGAACTTTGGTCACTCGCGGGCCACTGCCAGTTGAATAGCCCTACAATACAGCAATGTACTGATATTAGACGTTTTAATTTGTACTTTTGAATAATTGAGTATTTTTAAATGCATGTATTTTTGAATACCTAAGTATTTTCAAAAGTAAGTACTTCAGTACTTTAACTTGAATAGATTTTTGACCAAGCAACTTTTACTTGTAGTTGAGTAAGATTTGACCATGAGTAGATTTTTGACCGAGCAAATTTTACTTGTAGTTAAGTAAGATTTGAACATGAGTTTCGGTACTTTTACTCAAGTACTGGTGTTGAGTACTTTGTCCACCACTGTCAAGTACCTTTTACCTTTACTTTCAGTATTTAGTAAAACCTCAACAATTATAAGGCATGATTTTAATGAGCAATTGTAATTAATTTTAAACTATATGTCAGTTATGTAAAGAAATGAAATAAAAACACTGTCATGTATGACAATATTTTATTTACATGATTTAATTTTAATAACTTTTATTGTCCTTCAATGGGGAAATACATTCTCTGCATTGTTTTTATTGCACATCTGAGCACATGTGGAGCAGTGAGCTGCCGTTTGAAGCTCCTGGGGGGGTGATCATTGGTTGTATCTTAAACCTGGTTTAAGATGGTTATAGCTGAACAACCTTATCAAACTAAAAAGGCAACAAGTCTTCTATTGTGAAAAAACAATTGAAGATGATAGTACGTGAGTCATTCCAACACATACTGAGTGCTAATACAGTGGAGATCCCACAAGATTTCTGTCTAATGCTACGTTCACACCGAACGCATTTTGAGCGGCCAAAAAAGCGCAAAAGGTCTCTCGTTGGACGCACTATTTTCAGACCGAAGAACGCACTAGTGTTCAGACCAGAACATGCAGTGGCAGCAGCAAGGTGTGGGAGGAGCGTGTCCTCGGCGGATGAAATAAAGATAAAATAAAAGAAAATGGCTTTGATTTTTTTTTTAAAAAGCAAGCGAACACTGCACACAGCAGATAATTAACTCACCAGATGATTTAGAGGCGATTTGTTTGGTTAGTTTCGTCACTTCAGAAGCTGCTAGCTGACGGGCTTTTTTCTTTTGTCCCGAGCAGCTGATCCACATTGGTGCTGACTAGAGGTGTCCCGATACCGATACC